GACTGTTGTTGCAATTTGGTGCTGTATAAATAAAATGCATCTTTGGGCACGAAAAGAAGCCTCTGGTAATTCAATGACAAATATCATAACCAGTAATAATGTCAGCAACAAACATCCTGAAAGAAGCTTTGGAAAAAGATTAAAACCAATTTATCTCTCATAATGCTGTGAAAAAAAGTGTTTTAATCAAAAACATCTGATATTTATATTCTATATTTACTGCATTTTTCAATCAGAAACGCCCTGCTGTAACTCTCCCTGAATGCCTTTTTCTCAAGCAGAACATAACAAAAGGCAGAGGGACTGATAAAGTGACAGCTTCATTTAAACATACATCATGTGGGTACAGTAGCAAGACATAAGCTGGTTGCTCAGGCACACATTTCACAGCCCATTGTTTTTTGTGGTGTCCAATCTTGTCTGCAGAATCACAAAGAAATATTTGAGGACTGGAAACGGTCAGCCGGCAGACAGAAACCAGCTGACTGCATCATTGTTATAAAACATAAGAACTGGGGCGTAGTAAATCACGAGTGATGAGTAAGAGTATGAAATACAATATATATATCTAAGATTTTTTTGAAGAAATAATAACAAAACAGCTCACCATGTTACATGAAATAAAAGATCTAGAAAAGGAAAAGAAAAAGAAAGAACTTGGTGGAACATCTCATAAGTAAACACTTAGTTAAGAATAAGAATTTCTCAGCAGAAAACTTCTCGATTTTATCATTTTTTACTTCTTCTTTTGGCTGCTCCATTTAAGGATTGCCACAGTGGATCATCTGTCTCCACCTCATCCATCCTTTGCATATTCTTCTGTCACACTTTTGCACCCATGAACCTTCTCTTTAAGAAATCTGAGAAATCTGTGGAAGTAGTAAACAGGACAAGACTTTGGTCCTCCAGATTGCAGTGCACGTATTATCTTGTCCATGTATCTGATTTAGAAACTGTATAAAATACTGTAATGTTGAGAGTAATTCTAAGGCTTAAATGGATCCAGTTTATAATTTCAGAGGTCTAATGTGCAGCCATCAGCTTAAAAACACTTTAAGCATTTATTTTTTCGTAAATTCATATATTTATGAAAAAATAAATGTATATAAGAGCATATGTCTTAGCTGTTCCTGAGCCCACGCTCTACTGGACAGAGATCTCAGATGTTGTTCCTGGAATCTGCTAGAGCCACTCGCCCAGCTTGGGGCTCACTGCACCGAGTACTCCGATTACCACTGGGACCACTGTTACCTTCACCCTCCACATCGTCTCGAGTTCGTTACTGAGCCCTTCGTACTTTTCCAGCTTCTCGTGTTCCTTCTTCCTGATGTTGCTGTCATTCGCTACATCGATCACTACGGCGTCTTCTTCTGTTTGTCTACCACCACTATGTCCGGTTGGTTAGCCACCA